AGGAGGGGCAGTGGGTCTGTTCTATTTTTATTGACCAGTTGCTGTTGGCCATAGTTTTCATAGCCTCCCCTGAGCTCTGCCCCTCAGAGTCTGCAGTTGACTTCGAGACACAGACCAGCTCCACCAAGACTGCGAAGGGTAAGTGTTTTCAGTCCAACCCTTCAGATCCAGGCCAATTGCAGACAAAGGATAGGATGGTGGGGTTGTGGTGCTTGAGTTTAAGGAGAGAGTGAGGTCTCAGAGAAGGAAGAAGACATTTCTTGACTGTACTATAGGGTTTGTTGGAGGAACAATCCAAAAATACTCCCAAAGCAGTTGTTCCCGTACAATGGCATCTATCTTGCAAAATTGTCGTGGTGAAACCTCCTCCCAGCCCAAGTGGATGGAGAAGCTAGGGTTGATGGCAAACAGAGGCAACAGAAATCTGGGCTGCCTTCTATTTTAAGAATGGGAGGAAGGAGCAGAATTTTCCACAAAGTTCCACAAGGAATCTCAAGGCAGCATAGCAGATTCTGTTTCCATACCAGCCTGTGCATCAGGCCCCAGGAGAGAGAAGGCACCTAGGGGGATGGGGTGGCATTGGGGAGCATGGATGGAGGGCCTGCACCGGGAAGTTTAGGAAGAGCCTGGTGAGCAGTAAAAGGGAGCAATGATGCAGTGGACAGAACGGAAAGAGCTCTGGTGCCCAGGACTCTGGGGGAGTTAAGGAGGTAGGATCAGACACCTTGCTGATGGAAGAGACCGTCTCGCTTCTTTGTTCTTTGTGTTTGAGAGACACTTTTAGCTCCCTTTGTTCATCCATCCATACAGTAGGAAAAAAGTGGGGAAGGGCAGCCCACCAGCTCTGCTTGGCAAGGGACCAACCCTTCTTCACCATTCCTGGCTCTGAGAGGTGAGGAGTAATTGCAAGGGGTGCAGGCGGGGTGGGGGTGGTGATCTTGGGGAAGGTAAAATGGAGTTAACACTTAGAGTTGGGGCCTAAGATTCTAGTGGGCATCTAAGTTAGAGCAGTACCTGTGGTGTGATGCATGGTGAGGGTAGGGGTGAGGCTAAGGGCTCTCTAACAGGGTTGGGGCTAAAGGCAACACCTACCACCATGTTCTAGAATCACAACCCCCAAGCAGTTCTGAGATTGTTGTTGTTGTTATGTGCCATCGAGTCAGACCTGACTCATAGCGACCCCTCCTTGGGTTTCCGAGGCAGTATCACTACGGAAGTAGATTGCCCCATCTTCCTTCCGAGGAGTGGCTGGTAGGTTTGAACCGCCAGCCTTCTGGTTAGCAGTCAAGTGCCTTAGCCACTAAGCTACCAGAGCTCCCAGTTCTGAGATTAGGCTTTCCTATGCAGAGTTGGAGATGGGCATGTGTCAGGGTCCAAACAAACAAACCAACAAAAACCCAAACCCATTGCGGTTGAGAATAGAACTGCACCATAGAGTTTCCAAGGCTATAAATTTTTACGGAGCACACTGCCATATCTGTCTCTTGTGGAACAATCGGTGGGTTTGAAGCACCAACCTTTTGGTTAGCAGCCAATCATTTTAACACCACTAGGGCTCCTCTCAGGACTATAGCTCTTGGCAACAAATAGTTCAAGAGGACAGGGATGTCCTTGAACTGGGATTCAAGGTCAGGGAGAGCAAGGGGAAGAGTGTGAGCCTAACTAGAAATTTGTGTTCCTGATTATTAGGTTTGCAAAGAAATCAGTTCCTTTCCCTACACACATACACACACACTCTCTCTCTGTCTCCCTCCTTTCTTTCTCACACACACACCCTGTCTTTCCTCTCTCTCTGTCACACACACACACACACACACACATACTTCATCTCTCTCCTCTCTCTCTCACACACACCCTGTTTCTCTCTCTCTTACACACACGCACAATCTCACTCTCATTCACACACAATCACTTTTCCATTCATACTTAGCAGACAACCTTAGTCTGATAGTCTTGTTTATACTCCTGTTTCACCCCACAGAGCTTCAAAGAGTGAAGAGTCCTCTCTGAGTCAGCCATAGGAGATTCTTTGCTCCTTCTCTTCAATTGTGGATTTTCTAATTATCTCCCTACTTGCTGCTTCTGGGCTACACAGAATCCTGGCTCTCCCAGCCCCGATTTGCTGCTATCTGTGTCCTAGCTTCTTATCAGGCCCCTGCTTGTCTTCTACAGACCTGTCAAGGGGACCTGTCTGGGGGGCATCAGAGCACGGGATGGGGCCTCTTGCCTGATGTAGGACCCCTTGGCCTGGCATTTGTCAGTGGGGCTGACTGGTGAGCAGGCCCAGAGCTTGGCAGGGGGCCTGGACTGACCTCATAGGCAGGGCCCCACACTGGTGATGGTGGCTTTCTGAGGGGGGCGTAAACATGGCCATGCCCATCAAGAGTGGAGCACATCTCAGGGAAATGGACTACAGACCTACTTGGCTGAGACTAGGTGCCTCTGGAGACTGGGATTATGGGAGGAAGAGAGGAAGGACAGATGAACCTGGGGGTGGTTCTTCATCAGCTAGTGTTTCTTTTTGGATTTCTTCAGCGTCTTCAGAGGAGCAGAGCCTTCAGAATAAGCAGGTGGCTATAAAATCTAATTTCAGCCAAGCATGTTGGGAATTTATGAAATCTCCCTCTGTGCCCCAGGGTGACAGCTGAGACTCTGGGGTCATACTCCCCTCCACTACCCCCACCGCAGACCTCACTCTCCTGGGGGCAGAGACAGAGTGAAAGTCCAGAAGGCTTTCTGACAGGAGGAGAGATTCAAGAGAGATGGCCTGAGCCCTGCCTGCTCATTGGGGTGGGGGAAGATGCTTCAAGGCACAAAGGGTCAGGAGAGAATTAAAGCAGAGGAAGGGGGTGGCTCTGGGATAAAATTATTGTAGGCACTTTGCAAATGTCTTTTACATTCTGTGCCAAACTAGGTTCTTGGACCATGTCCAAACTCCTGACCCTGAACTCCATGCCCTTGACATCCTGACTGGTGTTTCCCACTACTCACTTCATAAGCCAGCTCAGGATTTCTGTCCTACCCTGCACACCTGCTCCCCACCCCAGATGTCCAGCCCACGTCCCCTGAGCTTTTGCACAATCCCTTCCCATTAGAATATCCTTTGTCCAGGCCCAGGGAAGATGGCCAGTCAGGTCTGGCTTTGGAACATGCCCTCTCTGCAGCCTCAGGACGACCTCCTTGTCCTGGGCCCCTGACTGTCAGAGGTAGAAGGGGTCCCAGGGATCATCTGGTTGGGGCTTCAGCTATGTCCCAAAACCTCCATGGCCAGGGGTCCAGGGGTCCAGGGGTCCTCGCAGTGGACTGCAGGGCTCCAATTGTGACCCTCTTGCATCAGTGCCATCTGCTCTTATAGATTGAATTTATTTTACTTACAAGTAAAACGTGGCTTGAATACAGTGTTCAAGAGTTAATCATTAAGTGGGAAACCACTTATCTAGCCCCTCATTTTGCAGAGGAGACAGTTGGCCTAGACAGGGCAAAGACTAGAGGTAAACACAGGTTTGCGCTGCTTCCTTGTTTATTTTCCTCTGTTCAGAGCCTCCCCTTTTCTTCACCTCAGGGGGTGCCAATCACATTGTCATCTATATGAGTAGCACCCCCTGTGACAACTGCAGTGCATGAAGTGTGAGTGGCACCCCCTGGAGTTGTGCATGTAGTAGTCACCTCCATTCCATCTTCTACTCTGCTCCATTCCGCTTCCAGGCCCTTTTCCTCTCTGACACTGGCAATCACTACCCATTAGGCAGTGGATAAAGTCTAAAAGCCTGTCCTTCAAGGCCCTCATGCTTGGGCTCCACCCGTACTTCCCAATCTTATTTTCTAAAGACTCCATCTTATTCCCCTCAGAGATTGGTAAACTTTTTCTGGAAAGGGCCAGATAGTAAGTATTTTAGGCTTTGCAGGCCACCTAAGTTTCTGCTGCATAATATTATTTTTTTAATACCACTTGTTCTGGTTACCTAGTGCTGCTCTGACAAGAATATACCATAAATGGGGTGGCTTTAACAAACAGGAGTTTATTCTCTTACAATTTGGAGGCTTTAAGTCCAAGTGCAAAGTGCCTGGCTCTAGGGGCTGGGTGAAAGCTCCTCAACCTTGGGGTCCAGCTCTGCCTCCTGCTCCTGGCCTACTGGAGCTAGAGGTGTTTTTTCACTCAGACAGCTGTTGGCTGCTGAGGCTGAGAAGTCCCAAGGTTGAAAAGTAAAAAGGCACAGTCCCAATGTTACCAAACCACACGGCAGGCCATTAACTTAAGTCCATTGTAAGTCCCAAGGTCGGCAGAGCATAGCAGGCTGCTGAGCAAGGCTACATGCAGGGTCCTAGTGTACCATAGGCTAGAGACCATTCCTAAGGCTTCTCCTTATATACAGGAAGCAGACCACAACCCAAATGCAGCTACTCAGCTGCTTGTGGTAGATCCCACCATGGAGTTGATTGCCAGTCTCATCATGGGGAATAACTACCACCAGCTGCCCAGCCACTCAACTAGGCCTAGCCAGTTGACACACAACATAACCACCACACCCCTTTAAGCAAAAACGTGGCAACCTTGTGTTACAGAGTAGACTGCTCCATAGGGTTTTCTTGGCTATAATATATACAGAAGCAGATCTCCAGGCCTTTCTTTTGTGGTGCCATTGCGTGGGTTCGAACCAGCAACCTTTAGGCTAATAGTCAAGTGCACACTGTTTGCACCACCCAGAGACAACACCAGGTGACCAGGGTAACCAAGAGGTAGAATCAACTTAACAGCAATAGGTTTCAAATATTTTTTTTTGGAAGCAAAAACAGACCATGGGCCAGATTAGACCAGTTGGCTGTAGTTTGCTGACTCCTGTTCTACACACCTGCCCACTGGAATCTATTATATCTGACTTCTTCTTCCTTGCTGTTTGACTCTCTCTCCCAGGCCCAGCTGGGTGGGTCTGGGGGCAGGGTTTTCACTTTCCCACCTTGATGCTCCCTCTGTGCCCTCTAGGTGCTGCCCCACCGCCACCATGCCGGAAGTGTAAGTAGTCCTACGCTCCATCCTGATTTCAGGGAAGGGAAACTTAAGCTCCATAGTTGAGTACTGTTCTTCTGTTCAACCCTCAACAGCAGACAAGTTCCTAAACCAGGAACGGTTCTGTGTGCTTGGGTCAGCATTGCATGGTTTCCCTAGTGTTGCCACACACCCTTCCAGCCTCTAAGCAGAACTCACACTTGCAAGTTCCCTGGAGTTTGTCTGTTTGCACTGATCCAATGAATTGCATGCTGCCAGGTTGTGATTTAACACAACTCAATAGACAAATGAGACTTTGGGAACTTATCCACAGGCATGGAACTGTTCTCATTTTTTAAACCCTACATTGAGATGACAAAGCCCTAACTTCCCTGACCTTCCACCACCTCTCCTCACATGTACAATGACCAGACCTAAAACAAACCAAACTCACTGCCATTGATCGGTTCTGACTCATGGCAACCCCTTCTGGGTTTCCAAGGCTGTAAATCTTTATGGAAGCAGACTGCCTCATCCTTCTTCTGTGGAGTGTCTGGTGGGTTTGAACCACTGACCTTTGGGCTAGCAGCCAAATGCCTTAACCACCACACTACCAGAGTCTCTTTGTGCACTGACCAGTTGTCTCAAGCTGGAAAGGCTGTGGAGTTTTTATTCTATTTAGTCAGAACCTGCTAACTGGCCTCCCACCTCCTGCCCCCTTTATGCTGCCTGGTTTCCTCCAGGTGCACTTTCCTCCTCTCCTCCTCCCTGGAAGCTAGTCTGCATGGCTCTGTTGCTGCATATAATATGCACTGTTTATACTCACTCTGTGTTCTGCTCTTTCCTCCTGTGCTTCCTGGATTGATGTCTAAAGCGAGGTAAGTGACATTTGGGATGTCCCTGTCCTGGGTACACCTTCAGAGTGGTAGGGGTGGGCTGGGTATCAGGAGAGGAGAGCAGTTGGGTTGGGGCCAGAGGGATGCCCTGTGGCTGAACAAATTCCCAGAAGAATAACCTCCCATGAAGACTCTAGCCGTGTGGCTTCCCAGGGTCCAGGTGCTCAGTGCACAACATCACTGAGAAGGTGGTCCAGGGGCTGGGACCACAGCAGAGCTGGGCATGACTCTGCACCTGTGCTGAGCACTGAGCCAGTACCCCCTCACCCATTCTGGGAGTGCTTCCAGAACTGGGGGGACCACTTTAGAGCTGGTCCTGTGTAAAGCCTTACTTGAATGGTGAGAAGGATGTCCATTTCACCTATTGGGTCATTCTGTCCAATGGCTGGACATTGAGGGAGGAGTGCAGAGGCATCCTTAGACTTCTTTAGGTCTTAGATGACCCTGACTTTGGCTATCCTACACACCCCAGATTTATTTGGGTTGCTGAGAATCCAATCTGCGTACATGCAATCACAGTGTGTAAACCTGCCTCTTTCCCTTCTTACCCTCAGAGAAAATCCAAGATCACCGCCTCCCGCAAACTCCTGCTGAAGGTGAGGCTGCGGGCTGGCTTTAGGGGGCTGTCCAGAGGGAGGTACAGGGGGTGCAGTGCAATCTCAGAGAGGGTGGCTTGGGGAGGTGGTAGGTGGGAGCATTGGAAAGTGAAGGGGAAGGAAACCAGAGCAAGAATGCCAGTTTGCGGGTAGAGCCAGCAGAGGGAGCCTGGTTATTACTTGGAGCCAGTGCCTGAGCACAGGTGGTCAGTGAATGAGAATCTCAAACTATGGGGTCCTGGTGCCTGCCTGGGGTCCTCACAGGAAGGGACTACTTCAGGGTGGGAATCCACTGGTGTGGCAGAGGGACTTGCGGTATTTGGGTAAGCCTTTCTCTCTTTGGATCTCTGTGGCATCAACACTGACAAAAAGTGGGCAAGAGGAGGACTAACCAAAAAACCAAATTCACTGCCATTGAATTGATTCTGACTCATAGTCATCAAAGGCAGTAAATCTTTACAGAAGTAGATTGCCCCATCTGCCTTCTGAGGAGTTGCTGGTGGGTTTGAACTACCAACCTTCTGGTTAGCTGTCAAATGCCTTAAGCACTATACTACCAGAACTCCTTAAGAAGAGGACTAACCTGAAAAACCAAACCCAATTCCATTGAATCGATTTCTACTCATCGCAGCCCACATTGGGTCTCCAAGGTGGTAAATCTTTAAGGAAGTACATTGCCCCATCTTCCTTCCACAGAGCAGCTGGTGGGTTTGAACTGTCAACTTTGTAGTTGACTTAGGCACTGTGCCACCAGAGCTCCTCAAGAGGAGGACTTAAAAAAAAAAAACAAAAAAAAAACTCACTGCCATCATGTTGGACCTGACTCATAGCGACCCCTCCTTGGGTTTTCGAGGCAATATCTCTACGGAAGTAGATTGTCCGACCTTCCTTCCAAGGACTGGGTGGAGGGTTTGAACCACCAGCCTTCTGGTTAGCAGTCAAATGCCTTAGGCACTATGCCACCAGAGCTCCCAGAGGAGGACTGTTGTTGTTGTTGTTATTTGCCATCGAGTCGGCCCCGACTCCTAGCGACCCCTCCTTGGGTTTCCGAGGCAGTTATCACTACAGAAGTAGGATTGCCTAACCTTCCTTCCAAGGAGTGGCTGGTGGGTTTGAACCGCCAGCCTCCTGGTTAGCAGTCAAGTGCCTTGGCACTATGCTACTAGAGCTCCCTAGAAGTTAAAAAAACAAAAACAAAACAAAACAAAAAAAACACTTCAGGGTCTGAGGACTGCTATGTGTGGTCCCTCAGTGTTTGTTCAGACACAACCACAGCATGCCCTTCCACACTTAGCAAACAGCTCATTCACACACTCCCAGGGCTGATTGGTCCGGGCCTGGCTACGTGTGAGAACACAGAGGGGCCAGAGATGGCCCAGCCTGGGTCCACCTTCCCTTCCTTCCCTGGTGTGTGTGGGGCCCACGAGAGGCCAGCTTCCTTCTCACAGGATTCTGCCCTGCTCAGAGTCTGATGCTGGCCAAGGCCAAGGAATGCTGGGAGCAGGAGCACGAGGAGCGGGAGGCCGAGAAGGTGCGTTACCTGGCTGAGCGCATCCCGACGCTGCAGACCCGAGGCCTGTCCCTCAGCGCCCTGCAGGTGAGCCTGCCAGGCCTGACTTGGGGGTAGGGAGCTCTGTATGGTGACCCCAGGGACCAGATGGCAAGAGGCTAAACTCACGTTGCTTAATGCTTTGTAATTTACAAGGTGCCTGTCTTAGTTCTCTAGTGTTGCTATAAGAGAAATACCACAAGTGGGTGGCTTCTACCAACAGAAATTTCTTTCTCACAGCTTAGGAGGCTGGAAGTCATAAATTATGGGGCTAGCTATGGGAAGGCTTTCTCTCTGTGGCTCTAGGGGAAGGTCCTTGTCTCTTTTCAGTTTCTGTTTCTTGGCTCCTTGGTGATCTTCACGTGGCCTGGCTACTATCTTTCCCCATCTCTGCTTGCTTCTCTATGCCTACTCTTCTCTTTATATATATATATGTTGTTATGTTGTTGTTATGTGTCATCGAGTTGAACTCGACCCATAGCTATGGAAGTAGACTGTCCCATCTTCCTTCCGAGGAGTGACTGGTGGGTTTGAACTGCCAGCCTTCTGGTTAGCAGTCAAGTGCCTTATCCACTATGTTACCAGAGCTCATATACATACATATATATATATATATCTTAAAAGTGATTTAAAAGTGATTGGATTAAAACACTCCCTACCCTGATATGATCTCATTAACATAACAAAGAAAAGCCATTTCTAAATGAGATTATAACCATAGGCATCAAATAAAAAAAAAAAAAAAACCAACTCATTGCAGCTGAGTTGATTCCAACTCATAGCAACCCCCATTGGATTTCCAAGGGTGTAAATCTTTATGGAAGTAAATCACCCCCATCTTCCTTCTGGTGGGTTTGAACTGATGACCTTCTAGGTAGCATCCAAATGCTTTATGCACTATTTATAGCACCTATTCATTTTTTGACTTGATGGCACATAACAACAACAACAACAACAATTCATTTTTTATTTTTTAAAAATTTATTTTATTTCCTTCACCCATGTTAATAATATGTGTCTACCTTCTCCAGTTAGGAGTTTACTCTTCCTACCCACCCCCCGACTCTGGTAACCATCAAATAATATTTCTTTTTTTTTTTTTGGTGAGACCCTTTTCTTGACTTTTTACAATAGTGGTCTCATGCAATATTAGTCCTTTTGTGACTAACTTCACTCAGCATAATGGTGGGAAGGAAGACTGGGCAATCTATTTCTGTAGAGATCCAAACCAAACTCACTGCCATGGAGTCGGATCCTACTCACAGCAACCCCTCCTTGGGTTTCTGAGGCAGTATCACTATGAAGGTAGATTGCCCAACCCTCCTTGGAAACCCAAGGCGGGGGTTGTAATGAGTCAGAACTGACTTAACAGCAGTGAGTTTGGTTTGGTTTTGGTTTTCAGCATAATGGGCTCGAAGTTCATCCATGATATGAGATGTCATAGTTCTTTAATGTTGCGTGGTATTCCATTGGGTGTATGTGCCATAGTGTGTTGATCCATTCCTCCATTGATGAGTATTTAGGTTGTTTCCATCTTTATGCTATTGTGAATGGCACTTTGATGAATATGGGTGTGCATATGTCTGTTTGTGTCATACTATACTACCAATTGTCTGTCAGTTTGTCAGCTTGCATGTTGTTATGAGGCTGGAGGCTATGCTACTGATATTTCAAATACCAGCAGGGTCACCGTGGTGGACAGGTTTCAGTGGAGCTTCAAGACTAAGACAGACTCACAAGAAGGAAGGGGCTGTCCATTTGTCAAAGAATTTGCCAGTGAAAACCTTATGAATAGCAGTGAAACACTACATATTTTTCAGGGACACAATTCAATTCCTAACAGCATCCTTCCCTCACATGATCTCATTCCATCCTCACAAAAGCCTGTGAAGTGGTGATGTTGATCCCAGTGCATAGGTGCCAGAGACGTGAGCTTCTGAGGGGTGAAGTGATTTTTTTGGGGGTGGGGCAGAGCCAGGGATCCAGCTTCATATTAGACCAGTGTGACAGCAGGGAGGAGAGGACAGGCAGGATTTGGGAAGCCCCATCTCTCCAAAAACTTGCCCCTGTCCATCCCCTAAAGTTAGGTCTTTAATGCTTTCAAGACATTCTAAAACAAACTCACTGCCATTGAGTTTATTTGACTCAGAGAACCCCCTCCCCCGTTGGGTTTCCGAGGTTGTATCTCTATGTAAGTAGATTACCCAGTCTTCCTTCCAAAGAATGGCTGGTGGGTTTGAACCATCAGCCTTTTGGTTAGCAGTCAAATGCCTTAGGCACTATGCTACCATACCTCCTAATGGTTATTTCTAGGATGTGGCATTACTAGTGACTTTATTACCTTTGTTTAATATGTTGTTGTTGTTACATGCCATTGAGTAGGACCCGACTCATAGCGGCCCCTCCTTGAGTTTCCAAGGCAGTATTACTATGGAAGTAGATGCTCAACCTTTCTTCTGAGGAATGACTGGTGGGTTTGAACTGCCAGCCTTCTGGTTAGCAGTCAACTGCTTAGGCACTGCGTTACCAGAGCTCCTTGTTTAATACATAATTCTCAAAATTTCTACATTTAATTTTATTAAATCATAAAGAAATCTCCCCCCCTTTTTTTTTTAAAGAAAATAAGAACCTACAGAAAAGGAAACAAATGGTCTTAGACTTTGAGCTATCCTCAGTTGTGAACTCCAGAGTGAATGAGTTTGTCAGCTCCTTTCCAGAGCACTGGTATTGAAAAGGGGCTAGGGGAGGGCCCGGGGCTGTGTGGGCTTGGAGGTAGAAACAGGAGGCTGGAGACTGAGTGTCTCTCTCCTTTCCCCTCTTCTCCACTCCTGTCTGATCAATTCTCACAGGACCTGTGCCGGGAGCTGCATGCCAAGGTGGAGGTGGTGGATGAGGAGAGATACGACATCGAGGCCAAATGCCTCCACAACACTAGGGAGGTAAGCCTGAAGGAGGGGAAGGGACATGGGTAGGGGGGTGCAGAGAGTAGATGTCTGGCTGGGGTGGTGGTAGATGATGACATGTCAGCTGTGGACCAATTCCACTCCTTGTGCTGAGTCTAGGAAACAAACAAACAAACAAAAAAAAACCTTACTGCTGTCAGGTTGATCCAACTCATAGCGACTCCTCCTTGGGTTTTCTCAGAAACCTCAGAAAGAACAGTATCTCTATGGAAACAGGTTACCCAATCTTCCTTCCAAGGAGTGGCTGTTAGATTTGAACTGCCAGCCTTCTGGTTAGCAGTCAAATGCCTTAAGCACTATGCCACCAGAGCTCTTAGGAAGTGGTCACTTAAACAGGGCAATCTGGTCCTTCTCCCTTCTCCTGAAGGGCTGGAGATGGGCCCACCCCACTGCTGTCGAGACAATTCCAACTCTAGTGACCCTACAGGACAGAGTAGAATGGCCTCATAGGGTTTGCTAAGGCTGTAAATATTTACAGAAGCAGCCTGCCTCATCTTTCTCCTGTGGAGTGGCTGGTGGACTTGAACTGCCCACCTGTTGGTTAGCACTGACTGCTTTAACCACTAAGCTACCAGCGGTCCTTGGAGATGGGCAGAGAGAGCATAATCACATAGATAAAAAGCAAAGACTTCCTCCCTACCTGCCAAATGGACTTTGTAGTCTAACAAGCCATCCTCTTTATTCACCCACGCAAATAATCATGTGCCTGCTAATAACATCCCACCTTGGCAAAATGCTTTCATGTGTGTTATACACTTTGATCCTCCCTACACACCTCTGTGCACTTTATCTGCAGTTATCTGCACTTTATGGATGAGGACACTGAGGTTCAGAGAGGCTAGGAAACTTGGCCTGGGTCACACAGTGGTGGTCCTGGGAGTGGATTGGTCTGACTCCTGCTCCAGTGAAGTGGGGTGAGGTAGAGCTGGCATGACTCTTGCTTCAGTAGTGGGCTGCTTTTGGGCATTTGTTCAAGCAGTGAGGAGGGAGGAGGGAGAGCCCAAAGCCACTTCCCTCCTTCCTGCTTCTTACCATCAGGAATGATGGTCTCTAGGATCACTAATCTCCCCAGAATTCCCTCCAAAGATCACACCCTGGATATTCACCCAGAGATCTGCGGTCTGGAGATCTATCCACTGGCTGGACCAGGCCTATGCCTGTAGTCAGCTGCTTTGAAGGCTGACTGAGGAGGGGCTGATAGAAGCAGGAATGGACTGCAGGAAGAGCAAAAGGCCTATGTTCCAAACAAGGCTTTTGAAAACTTTTTAATACTTTACATACGTTAAACCTTTGTTAAACCTCTAAACACTTGCACTGGACTTGTGGGGGCTGCCTGGGTGATTTGTAGCTGCAGTGGTAGAGTCTCCACCAGGCTCTAGTTGTGCATTTACTTATTCATTCATTTATCAACAAATGTGGTTATGTGTAAACCAATGAGTGGATCTGATTGCCCCAGAAGTTGTGGCCTAGAGCCTAGAGGATTTGGGGTGTAGCACTTGGGGGCTCTGTCTATCTGGAACACTGAAAGTCTGAGATCCACAGGAAGGGTACCTTGTGGCTGGCTCCTCCCCCAGTGAGCCATTGTCCCTTTCCACCTGCAGATTAAGGACCTGAAGCTGAAGGTAATGGACCTCCGAGGGAAGTTCAAGCGCCCACCCCTGCGTCGAGTCCGTGTCTCAGCCGACGCCATGCTCCGGGCCCTGCTGGGCTCCAAGCACAAGGTGTCCATGGATCTGCGGGCCAACCTCAAGTCTGTGAAGAAGGAAGACACAGAGAAGGTGAGGGCCAGTCTCCTCAGTGCCCCATCAATCTTCACCTGTCACCCCACATACAACCTCAGGCTGGCCCAGGAGTCCTTTGGAGACCAGTGAGCCTGTCAGTCAGAATATTCTAGAACCCATAGGAGACCAGATAAAGTCTTATCACTCTGTCCTGGGAGACAGAAGACTCATTCTTTTCCATAAGGAGCTCCCAGTCTGAGGGGGAGGCTGAGACCCAAAGAAATCCAGGCCAGTGGACAAAGTAAAACCCTGCACCCAGTGTGAAGAGGGTGGGAAATTTAGGGTGACTATAGAGACAACTAAGGAACTTGGGTGGTATAGTGGTTGAGGCGTTTGACTGTAAACCAAAAGGTCGGTGGTTCAAACCTACCAGCAGTTCTGCAGAAGAAAGATGAGGCAGTCTGCTTCCATAGAGATTTACAGCCTTGGAAACCCAATGAGGGTTGCTGTGAGTCAGAACTGACTCAATGGCAGAGTTTGGTTTTCGCAGTTTGGTGGAGACAACTGCCCTCTACCATTACAGGGGAAAGAAGACAGTGTGTCATTGTAGTTATAGGTTCACTTGAGCCCAGAAATTAGAGAAGTGAGTTCAATTACTCCCTCAGTGACAAATCACTCAACACTGGTTAAGCTCATAGTGTATGTGCCCAGAACCAATGGGTCCTGTGAATAACATGGATGAAAGACAGGGTCTCTGGCTCAAGAAGCTTCATAAAGAGAAGACTTGGGCCAGGCTGTGTGAAGTAGAAAAGGATTCTAATTAGTAGGGGGAGGGCTTCTTGGACGAGGTGGCTTTGAGCTGCAGAGTGGCAGCACATGGAGGTGGTGGGGGCATGGAGACAAGTTTGGGGTGGGCTGCACAGGTGGGAACTGGCTCTGGAACCCTACAACCATCACTCAGAACTCCCAACACACACAGTTTCCTCTTTCCTGCTGAGCTTCAGCTTGGAGCCATGTTCACCTCTTTGGCTAAGTCCTAGGACCTCACCAACTGGGAAGTGGGAGTCAGAATTTTCTATTTTTTTTTAAATAATTTGTTTTTAAATTAAATTAAGTTAATTATTTTTATTATGGTAAGCACACACACACACATGTGTGCATGTGCATGCACGCACACACACACACACACATACGTGGTTCCTGGGTGGTGTGAATGGTTTGTGCTTGACTACTGAGCTAAAGGTTGGTGGTTCAAACCCACCCAGTGGCACTGCAGAAGAAAACCCTGGTGATCTGCTGCCATAAAGATTACAGCCAAAAGCACTGCTCCATTCTGTAACACTTGAGTTGCCATGAGTTGGAACTGACTCTGCAGAAAAAGACAACAGACAACAAGTACATATACAAAACAAAACATTTGTTATTTCAACATCTTCCTTTTTTGAAGAAGCTGATTTTTCTATCCCTCAGTTTCTCTTGAGCTTGGGATCTGGTAAGTCTCTGACCTGTGTGCTGCTTGCCCGCAGGAGCGGCCTGTGGAGGTGGGCGACTGGCGGAAGAACGTGGAGGCCATGTCTGGAATGGAAGGCCGGAAGAAAATGTTTGATGCTGCCAAGTCTCCAACCACACAGTAGAGGTACCTTTTCTCTGAGGTGGATCAGAGCCCCAAAGAATAATTAGGGACCCTAGGATAAGGGCAGTGGGTGGGGTGGGGTTGTTTGTGCCCAGTGTGATATAGGGAAAAGAGCATTGGATCAGAGTCAGCCGTAAGAAGGTCCAGTCCTGGCTTCAGCACTGTGAGAGCTTGGACACTTTCTAATTTTGGGCTCCTTTTGTTCCCTTCCGAGTCCTTGGGTGGCACAAACAATTAAGCCCTTGACTGTGAACTGAAAGGTTGTTGGTTTGAATCTACCCAGAGGTGTCTCGGAAGAAAGGCCTGGTGACCTGCTTCTGAGAGTTTACAGCCTTGAAACCCTAGGGAGCACAGTTCTACTCTGACACACATGGGATTGCCTTGAGTCAGAATCGACTCGATGGCAATGGGCTTTTTTTTTTCCACTTCCATGGGAGTACTAGTAGCTCTGGTGGCATAGTGCCTAAGGCATTTGACTGTTAACCAGAAGGCTGGCAGTTCAAACCTACCAGCCACTCTGCGGAAGGAAGAGTGGGTAATCTACCTCCGTGGTGATATCGCCTTGGAAACCCAAGGAGGGGTTGCTATGAATTGGATCTGACTCAATGGCAATGATTTTTTTTTTTTTTTGATGGGAGAACTAGGGGAATGTGGAGGAGGGCAGAAAAGGCTTTCCAGAGGGTGTAAGCTCTCTAAGGAACTGATAAGTACACGTTAGTAAGGAAAGGGAAAGGATGTGGCAGAAGGTCTGCTAATGCAACAAAGGCATTGAGGTGGGAACTAACTGGTTTTGGAGGAGGATGGTGAGACAGGCAGTATGAAGGGCCAGTGATCCAGGCTCAGAAAGGTGCAGGAGCTTGGAGCCCAGGGCTGAAGGTGAAGCTAAGGCTGCATAGGAGCCCCTGAGGATGATGGTGCAGGCTGGGGTGTGCTGGGTTCAGGCTTCCCGGGTAGTGCAAGTACTGTGGGTCAATCAGGATTTGTAAACTGCACACAGGTCACTGGATCTTCCTTCTCTTTGTCCCTACAGGCGGGCTTGAGGCATTGTGCTCCCAGCTCCTGCTTAACGCTCCTTTTTCCAACCCTACCCCCTACCTCTCTTTCCCGTTTCTGGAGCACCTCCCTCCCTCCCCGCCATCTTCCCTCTCCCCTTCAGACTGCCATGCCCTCCTCTGGAACTGAGACTGAACAGACACACAAAAGAGAGGAAAAATGCAAGTGTCTGAAGACCTCACTCCAGCAGCTTCTCCATTACCCATGAGGCAGCGGGGGCTTTCTGGACAACCTTTGGTGTGGTCACCAGAGGAGGAGGCTGAGTGAATCTCTTTCTGCCAGCCCCTGCCACATCCCTCTGCTGCTGTTATAACAGTGTCCACAGCATCAGGTCTCTTCATTAAAACCCAGTTTCCTGGTCTTTTCTGTCTCTCTGGCTGTGAGGACTTGAGAAAAAGGGAAGCAAGGGAGTCGTGAAGAGACGGTTTGCTGGGCTCCAGGCACTCTGCCCATGGTCAGGAGCTCAGGATCAGAATGGAAGGTTAAGGAATTGTAGCTGCTTGTTAAAGTCCCCTGGGAATCCTTCTTCTCAGTACTAGTGACATCTCAAAGCTTATCCTCAAATCCCAGGATGCATTCAGCCCACCAAAAGCCCTGGCCCAAGAGTGCTACTCTGAGGACAGACCCAGGCCTGCCTTAACTCCTGCCATCCAGATGGGCCTCTCCGTTCAGAGCCCCTTGCCCTGTCTGATTTCACACTCTCTGGTAGTGTAGTGCCTAAGGCATTTGACTGCTAAACAGAAGGCTGGCAGTTCAAGTCCACCAGACACTCCTTGGAAGGTAGATGGGGCAGACTACTTCTGTAGTGACACCACCTCGGAAGCCCAAGGAGGGGTCACTATGAGTCAGATCCTACTTGACAGCAGTGAGTTTAGTTTTGTTTTTTGTTCCTTTGTGAATGTGGCTTAGCTTTCCTTGGTGCTTTCTGGATGTCTCTGACAGTTGTAGGCGAGAGGTCTGGACCCTTTCAACCCCTAACCCCATCCTATGAGAACAGCACCTGAGGAGTGCAGTACTCAGGCCTAGTCTGGAAGGACAACCTGCAGTTCCAAGACCGGCAACCAGGTGGTGCCTTCCCTAGGCTTCCTCCCAGTGTTTTCCCTAAGCTCCCCGCCCCGGCTCTCTTCCACTTTCATTCACTCACCCAGTCCTTTTCCCTTCACACTCCTTGATTAGTCATAGTCCCAGGCCTGATCCTTCCCCCATCTTGGGGCAGCCAGGTGATCTATTTTCTGGGCCAGGTCTTTCTCCATCCCACTGACATCTGTGAGGGGCTTGAGCCTGCTGGGCATGGGGGAGGGAACTGGGTCACTGCCTCCAGACACACACACACACACACACACACACACACACACACACACAAAGAGAGAGATCATGGCTCCTGTGGAGCAGAGACCAAAGTTCTAACCAGTGAGACATAGCTTTTCAGAGGAGTGTCACAATGACTTCCTGAGCTAAAGCTACAAGGGAGGTGGCTACTCTCAGATCTGGAGCCCTTGACCTTTGACCTCCCAGCACTGGTCCCAGGAAAGGCTGAGCTGTCTACATAGCTCCCTTCCACTGGCCCCTGCTGAGTTCCTATTCTGCCCTCTGCTCCCAGTGCATTATCTGCAATAAGTGCCAGAAGCTGGGTGCAAAGTGCAGTGCCAGATACTCAATGCATGGTCCACCACCTCCAGGGACCATTGTAGTGGGGGCAAACAACCTGGGATGTGTCAGAGGAGGTAGCATTCTGCTCAAAATTCTTTCTATGAGCAGGTCAGTGGGCAGATGTGTGCAAAGATGCAACTCTCACCATGCATACAAGCCCTTAGGCACAGACACACCCAGTTTCTCCCTCTCATTCACACACACACACACACACACACACACACAGAGCTGGGCCCATACCACAGATGATGGGGTTGGGCTTCATGTCTAGGCAGACATAGAAACCCCCTTCTCTGCCTCACAAGGCTCCTCCTGATGGGCCAGGGTTCAAAGCAAGGGTCCTTGCTTTGTCTCTTTCCATATCTTTTATAAACCAAGTTCCAAAGGCAAATCTCAGTTCTGCCAGTCAGCTATTAACCCAGGGCCTGGCAGATTGGGGTCTCTGCCTTGGCCTACAAGGGTGGGAGGTCAGCCCTAGACCTGACTCAAAGCAAACACTTGGATGCAGATAGTGCACGGGAGGAGGAGGTGGGGCTGATTTAGCAATCTCAAGGTGGTGGCTCTCTGGGGCAGAGGCAGAAGTCGCCTCCATAGGTCTAATGGTGATCTGTCCCACCCTCTGCTTCTAGGCTGGACCTGATACATCTTCTGTGAGGATGAAGGAAGAGCAAAGATGAGCAGAAACATTTACTGAAAGGGACGATTTTGAGGCACTGAGTGGATGAAGGAGAAGAAGATCTTGTCACAGGACTCTTTAGTGGGGAGGGGAGGTACATATCGGACCAAAGAAGAAACAAAACCCAAACTCACTGCCATTGAATCGATTCTGACTCATACATACCCTATAGGACAGACTAGAACTGCTCCATAGAGTTTCCAAGACTATAATCTTTACGGAAGCAGACTGCCTCATCTTTCTCCTGTGAAGCAGCTGTTAGATTTGAATCACTGATTTTGTGGTTAGCAGCTGAATGCCTTAACCACTGAGCCATCAGAGCTCCTTACCTATGGGACAGGCCTGATGTTTCATCTGCAGCCATGAACAGATTTGGGAGAGGGAGGCATGGTCTCTAAAGAGTCTTGATTGCACTTGCAGAAAGGGCATAGGGGCAACATCCTCTGACCTCCTCTAACTTCATGAGGGGGCAGAGGAAAGATCACCAACAATAGCCCAAAGCTGATTCCCACAAGGCAGAAGTCAGACATGCTGCCACCCTCCAAACATCTTAGTTCTGACACCCATGGCTTTTACTACATCTCTGCTAGGTTCAATGATTCATTGCAGTGTCCACACAGACAGTACTCATGATTATGGAGTTTGTCAGAGAAGTAACAAGTTACAATTCAGACTCAGGAATGCTCAGAATACAGTTCTTCAATTAGGATAGCCTCTCCTCTGCCATGCCTGAAGGCACGCCTTTCTTTGGCCCTTGGCCTCTCAGCCTGGCCTTTTGCCCTGCTTGGGAAAATGTTACAAAGTTCTTGTAGCTCTGCTGATAGGTGCACCTAGGTGCACCCCACTCTACCAGCAAGCCTCCTGCTCAAAGGCACTCACTTGGTGGGAGAGCAAGCCTGCCATTCTGTCTCTTGCTGGTCTCTTGGTTCTGTTCTCTGATGCTGCAGTCTCTCTGTTGTCTCTCTGTGGTCATCTCAGCACAGGGCTCTTGGGTACAAGGATGCATTCCACTCCTGGCTCTTCTGTCATGATGGCAGTGAGATCCCCAATTCTGCCTCTGGGAGAACTCATTTTAAGCCTAGCTGAATGACAGAACTGACCAGTCCCCACAGTAGGGTTCCATACACCTTATTTCCATGGTCCCACCCCCACAAGGGGGCCATGTACCTTATTTACATTACTAATAAGCTATCTAATGCCCTTGGTGGACCACAAGCACCTCATATTTGCATTGTCCTACCCAGTCATCTGGGAGCTCTGGTAGTGTAGTCTCTAAAGAACTTGACTGCTAACTAGAAGGCTGGTGGTTCAAATCCACCAGCCACTCCTCGGAAGGAAGATGGGGCAATCTACTTCTGTAGTGATACTGCCTTGGAAACCCAAGGAGGGGTTGCTATGAGTCAGGTCCGACGCCATGACACATAACAACAACAACAACAACAACCCAGTCATCTGGTAGGTGTCACAAAGACCATGGCTAGAAAAGCCATACCAAGTAATTCACTGCACCACTGTGTTCCAGTACAACTCCGCCTGGACATAAGGAGAGCAGAGTTGGTTGCACTTACAGCAGACTTACTGTAGGCTAGGCACTGCACTATGTTCTTTAATCAATTCATTTA